TTGAAGCCTTCCAGTAAGATTTGGGGTCTTGAAACAAGGATTTCTTCTACTAGTTAGAGAAATGCAAATTAAACAGCTCTGAGATAGCACCTCATACCTATCAGTTTGGCTAGCATGACAGAAAAGGAAAATGACAAATGTTTTAAAAATTGGGACACTAATGCATTGTTGGTGGAGTTGTGGACTGCTCCAACCATTCTGGAGAACAATTTGGAACTACGCTCAAAGGGCTATAAAACCATGCATACCCCTTGACCCAGCAATATCACTTCTAGGTCTGTATTCCGAAGAGATCAAAGAAACAGGAAAAGGTATTATATGTACAAAAACATTACAGCAACTATTTTTGTTGTGGCAAGGAATTGGAAATTAAAGACACGCCCATCAATTGGGGAATGGCTGAACAAGTTGTGTTATATAATTGTGATGGAATACTATTGTTCTATAAAAAATGATGAGGGGGATGGTTTCAGAAAAAAAAAAAAAAACTTGTGAAAACTTAACATGAACTGATGCAAAGTGAATTGAGCAGAACCAGGAGAACATTGTACACAGTAATAGCAATATTGTACTATGATCAACTGTGAATGACTTAGCTATTCTCAGCAATGTAATGATCCAAGACAGTTCTGAAGAACTTATGATGAAAAGTGCGGTGCATCTCCAGAGAGAGAACTGGTGGAATCTGTGTGCAGATTGAAGCATAATTTTTTCACTTTTATTTTTCTTGCCTCTTTTTTGCAACATGGCTAGTATGGAAATGTTTTGCATGATTGCACGTGTATAATTGATATCACATTTCTTTCCTTCTCACTGTGAGTGGTAGGGAGGGAGAGAATTCAGAAGTCAAACAAATTTTTTAAAAATGTTAATAAATTTATTTTAAAAGATATATCATCTCCCTTGATCCTCACAGCAACCCTAGGTGCTATTATTATCCCCATTTTACGGATGAGAAAACTGAGGTCAACAGAGGTTAAGTGACTTGCCCAAGGGTACACAGTAAGTGTCTGAATTCAGATTTTCCTGACTCCAGGTCTGGTGCTCCATCCACTGTGCCACTTCCATGCCATATATTTGGAAATGAAGTTGATGTGAAAACAAAAGATATCAATGCATTTTTATAAAGGAAAAAAGTAATTCTCCTTGGCATAGAAAACAGAAGCAAAATGAAAAGTCAGCAGCTTTGCCTTCTCTCTCTATTCAATTATCATCCACCTCAAGCAGGGGTCCTAATACGTACACACACACATACATACATACGTATATGTATGTGTATATATATATTTTCCCCAATGTAACTTAAATGAATTTTTTTGTGGACCTTGACTTCCCTTGTTTGTCTCAGATCGTTCTTAACATTTGTTTTACAGCATTTTGCCATGCTCTTAAAGTCATCCTCTATTACTTTCCTTTCATCTTCTGTACCTATCTTTCTTAAGTCTAAGTTGGTGAGAGTTCATTATGCATCCACATCGGTCTCTTCAAACAACTCTCATTTTTACTCCTCATTACAATTGTTTCTCTTAGTGTCTTGAGAATTTTATTCTTGAGAGTTTTTCCATCCCTCCAAGATTGAATTTCCCTGTAGATTTTAGTCCATGGGATCCTACTTAGCATACCTTGGAATCTTTGAAAACCAGAATTCCTCAAATCCAAGCCTGCAAAACCTGTGGCCCACTGTGCCGGCCTGCTCGAATTTTGATGCATATCAAACTATGCCTGGTTTTCCTCTCCTCTATCATGAATTAGGAGAGAGTAACCACGTCATCCCAAGGTTTCTAATATTTCTGCCCCAGCAACAGGTTTCTCCCTATTAATGAGATGCAGATCTATTATAGAATTTAACCTTACTTTGAAGAAATTCTCTCTCTCTCCCTCTCTCTTTCCCCCTCCCTCCTCCTTCTCTCCCATCCCTCCGTCTCTCCCATTTCCATATTCTCTCTCTCTCCATAAATTATGCATTTACATATATTTGATAGAGTGCTGGCTTGGAATCAGAAAGCCTGGGTTCAAATCCCACCTTTAACATTTCCTGGCTACATGAGCACAGGCAAATCACTTCAGATCTCTGAGCCTCAGTTAACTGAGTGATTTTACAGATGAAAAAACAGGGCCAGGGAAGGGAGGTGACTTGGCCAAGATCACATAACTACTAAGTGGCAGAGCTGGGACTTGACCTTTGGTGACCCTTCTAATGCCGAAGGCAAGACTTTCCACTAGACCATGGGCCTGAAGGTCCCTTGTAGCTCTAAATCTCACGAACCTCTGAGACAGACGCAGTCCCGGCCGACCTCCTTGTCTCCTGCTACACATCACCATTTCATTATCAGTGCCTTCCACAATTTCCAACAGCCAGGAGAAAGCCAGAGGGATATCAGGCCAGAGAAAGAAGAAGCAGCAAGAATGGAAGAAGAGTCCTGGTTCATCTGTTGCTCTCTTGGATTTTCTTCTCTTTCATGCAAAGCAGGATTAAGTGAGATAGTGGAATTTGGCCAGGCTCAGGGAGCGGGCTGTCACCTCTGTGACTCCCGTGGGCTCTTGAGACCTCAGTGGGCAGCATGCTCTTGGCACAGGGCCCCTGCTATGGTGGTGACAGTCAGCAGCCCCTGGCAGCCAGGGCTGAGAGTGCTGCCTTGTCACTAATCCTGATTTGGAACTCTTCTTTCCTAGATCTGGGGGTCTGTTGGCTCACTTGCTAATCAATCAATCAGAACGTATTTGTGAAGGGTCTGCTATGTGCCAGGCGCTATGTTAAGTGCTGGGGATACAGTGAAAGGCAAAACCGAGGCCCCTGCCCTCAGAGAGGTCACATTCGAATGGTAATAAGTAGGCACATCCAAGATGTAGCCAGAGTAGATGGAAGGTCATCTCATAGCTCAGGAGACCAGGAAAGGTGAGACTTGAAGGAAGTCAAGGGGACTAAGACAGAGACTGGGGGTGGAGTGCTGTCTGTGAAGAATAGCATTGGAGGGGAGTCAAGGGTGAGGAGAATGGGAAGGTGGGATGAAGTCAGCTTACGAAAACCTTTCAGAGCCAAATAGAGGAGCTTGTATTGATCTTGGAGGTTATTGAATGTGTGTGTGTGTGTGTGTGTGTGTGTGTGTGTGTATACAGGAGAGACATGGTCAGGCCTATGCTTTAGGAAAGTCATTCTGTTAACGAGTAATGGGTAGATTGAAGTGAGGAGAGGCTTGAGGCAAGATGAACTAGGAGGTGAACAGAGTCTGGGCAGTGAGGTGCTGACAGCCTGAACCAGGGAGGCAGTGATGTTAGTGGAGAGCCAGGGATGTACAGGAGAAATGACAAGATTTAGCCCCTGGTTAGACATGGGGGTACTGTGAATGAGGTGTGGAGAATGCTGCTGAGGTTGGGAACCTGGGGGAATGGGGGGGGGGGGGGTGCTGATGCCTTCAACAATAATAGGAGGGGGCAGCTAGGTGGTGCAGTGGATAGAGCACCGGCCCTGAAGTCAGGAGGACCTGAGTTCAAATAGGGCCTCACACCAAACACTTGACACTTACTAGTTGTGTGACCCTGGGCAAGTCACTTAACCCCAATAGCCTAAAAAACAAAACAAAACAAAACACAATAATAGGGGGGTTGAGAAGAGGGGAGAGTTTGGGGGGAAGGATAATGAATTCTAGTTTGAACAGATTCAATTTGAGATGCCTCCAGGACATACAGTTTAGGATTTCTAAGAGGCAGTTGGGGCTGCTGGATGGATGCTCAGGGAGAAAGTGGGACTAGCTATAGACAGCTGGGAGTCAGCTGCAGAGAGATGATAGTTGACTCCATGGCACCTGAAAGAGAAGAGAACATGGGACAAAGTCTTGGGGGATACCCACAGTGAGTGGGCATTACCTGGATGAAGAATCAACAAAGGAGACCAAGAAAGAGCAGTCAGAGAATCAGGAGAGGGCCACATCTTAAAGGGCAGCTAGGTGGTGCAGGGGACAGAGTGCTGGCCCTGGAGTCTGGAGGCCCTGCCACGGCCAAATGCCCACAATCTCTGCTCAGAGTGCTGGCTGCTCTCCCTTTTAGAAGACAAAGTTTAAAAGGAAGAAGGGTTTCAATGTGAGAACAGAGGAGGAAAGAGATGAGAGGTGGCAGATGGGACTGCTGATGTGACTCAGACGTGCTGCAGAAGAGAAAAGGAAAGCGGCTGACAAGACCACTGAACACTTGAGGCTAGGCAGTGGAAGGGAGGCTCCTTCCAAAGAGGAGGGAGCTGGCCCCTCTAGGAGAAGCAGCGGCTTGTCCTCCCAGGACAAGGAAAGGTCATGCTGACTGCGGTGTGTGCAGGGCCAGAGGGAGAGGACATCCACGGTGGCCAGACCTGAAATACAGTCTGTGGAGGGGCACTGGCTACTTGGCCACAGCCTCGAGTGGGGTCCTGGCCAGGTGCTGAGCAGAAGCAGCCACTCCATGAGCATGTGAGCTAGCTGTGAGCCCCAGCAGAGACAGATTTACAAGCTATGAGGACATAAGGGCCACCCCAGCCCTGCAGAGACAAGCTCGTAGTCTGGGAAGCCTCCAGCAGCCTTGGACCCAGAGCTTCCCACAAGCCTGAGTCTAAGGAGAGAGGAGCCAGAGACCTCACCAGGCCACTTCCCAGTTAAAATGACTGGACGAAGCCTGGCCTAATGGATTTGCTTGACTTGGCTGAGATCACCCAGGTAAGAGGTGGCTGAGCTGAGATTTCAGTCCAAGTCCTCTATTGCCAAGTCCAGCCCCAGCCCCACTGCCCGGCACTGCCTGTCTTGTGATCAAAAGCCTGTCACTAGCAATTTCTTCTCTACTGTTACCTCCCTCAGCAATCGGGCAGACAGAGGAGAAGGTGGCTTGCCCTGGTTCCAGCCCTGGGCACCAATGTGGCAGGCTGCTGGCTGTAGGCCTTGTCAGTGCTAGACACTGACCATGACAATGGCTGCTATCAAGCAGGCCTCCAGGGGCATTTTTAGGTGTGATACAGTGTGAGGCTTGGGCGGCATACTCACGGCGATGAGCTGATAGGAGTTGTTCATCATGGCAATGAGCATGTTCAGCAGCACCACCAGGGAGATGACGTTATATGTCCCGAACATAGTTGCGCCCACAAATTCGGTGAACTCGTGCCTAGCTTTGACATTGGTGACGTAGAGATTCAGAAGTCCAAACACCGACCAGAAAAGCGATTGCAGGGTCTCAAAAAGCCTGAAGGACACAGAGAGCATTGTTATCTATTCTCTTAGGCCTCCCTGGGAAAAGAGGGGGGAAGAGATGGGGCACGGTCTAATGCCATTCCTCCTAGGGAGGGGCTGGTCCATTCCCTTTGAGCTGGTCATCCTCCAGACCTGGAATGCATTCCCTCTCTCCCTCCCTCTGTCTCAAAGACCCCCTGTCCTTCCATAAGGCGCAGCTCAAGCCTGACCCTCTAGATGAAGCCTTTCCTTACTCCACTCTGGGAAAAGAAAGACCTTAAAATCAAAACTTCCCCACCCTCTCCAAACTTGACCAAAACTCACTCTTCCCCCCTCCCAACTTGAAAACCCCCTAATCTTCCCTCCAATTAGAAATCAGATTATCCAATTTTGTATCCTGTTGTTTTAATTAATTGGTCTTACTCGATTATTTTTAACACATAAAAATCTGTCTCACTCTGTATTCAGGGCCTTTGGACTGTTTGGGGAGTCCATCGACTCATGTATTATGCCTGTTTTGCTAATAAATCGTGTAGCTCGCATTGGGTTTCTCAGTCATTATAAATTCTCCACCGCACCCGCCTGCTTGTGTCACCTGCCAGTGCCTTCCTCCCAACTCCTTTGGACAGACTTGTATTGATCACATTATGTTGGGCAGGCTCTACGTACTTGGATGTGGCCTGGTTACCTTCCTGATTAGAATGTAAGTTCCTTGAGAACAGGGATGGTTTCATTCTTTGGACTTGTATCTGCAGGCCTGGCACACAGTAGGTGACTAATAAATGCTTGGTGAATGATTGAAGGATTGACAAGCTTGAGCTACTTTGGCTCTTAAGGACATTTGCTTTGTCCCCCCACCCCCCACGCACAAGGGGAAGGGGAGCAGGTCATTCTAGGCCTCAGAGGGCTTTCCTCCTTGCATTGCACCTCCCCTCATCCCAAACCCTCTGCTTCCCACAGATGGCATCTTTTCATTGCCCCTGCTTTTCTCCCTCTGCCAGTAACTGCGGCGCAAGCTGGAGGCTGCTCAGTGTGGGAAGCTGGCATCGGTCTCATGGCCCAAAACAAGGATGGATAGGAGGACCCCAGCAGATCTAGAGTCACTCCAGGTGCAGGAATGGGGCAAGCCAAGGCCAAGGTAGGTGGAGAGGCCATGCCCCAGAGAGGTCTGGCTTAAGGGGAAAACAAAGGTCTCTGGACCTGGGCTCCTGCTGCGTCTTTGATGATTGGATGGCTGTCACGGCTGTAGCTTGGCCTCTGCCGAATCTTAGCTCCTCCTTCCCTTTCTCTCAGCTGGGGGCCGTCCTGTCTAGGGCATGGCACTAGAGGAGGCTGGCAAACTGCAGCTGAGCCAGTGATACCAGCACTGTCACTGCTTGCTCGGTGGGGGTTTTCAGCACTGCCGCCAGCCCCCTGTGGCTCCCACACTGCCCTTCCGAGCCCCACGGCTAGAACGAGGGACAGCCTTTGCCCAGCGCTTTCCACCCCACGTGCTGCCTCAGCAGCCCATTCATTTCTCTTTCGGAATGCTCCGTGGGACAGGGAGTTTTTTCCTGACATTCCTGACACGGAGCCCACCTCAGCCCCACCGTTGCTGCTGGTTCTCTCCTCTCTGGCCAAGCAGTCTTACGCACAGGACCCCCAATGTGGATTGCCTCGGGGCCCATCCAGTCTTTCTTTCAGGGAAGGGTCTGATAAAGCTCTTTCACATGTGACTGACCTAAGGGTGTTTTTGATGAGGCAGTTGGGGTTAAGGGACTTGCCCAGGGTCACACAGCTAGTGAGTGTCAAGTGTCTGAGGCCGGGTTTGAACTCAGGTCCTCCTGACTCCAAGGTAGAGCTCTAACCACTGTGCCACCTAGCTGCCCCTACCCAAAGGGTTATTCCTAGGGTTATTGCACTGCAACAAGGAACGTTGATTGGAACCAAAGGAATAAAGCCCACTTGGTGGAGTTTTAGGCATTAGACAGCAAGGGTAGAGGGGCAGACACAGGAAGCAGATTTGTTAGCCTCTGGAGCATGTCTTAAATGACACCAGCTCAGTGGCCATTTGCTCCACAGGATTTAAAAGACTGGCTCTATTAGCTAACATTTGTATAGTGCTTACTATGTGTCAGGCAACTTATGCTAAGTCCTTTACAAATATTATCTCACTTGATCCTTACAATGACCCTGAGACGTAGGTGCTCTTATTTTTCCCATTTTACAGATGAGGAAACTGAGACAGAGGTGAAATGACTTGCTTAGGGTCACACCGCTAGGAAGTATCTGTGGCTGGATTTGAACTCAGGTCTTCCTGACTCCAGGCCCAACACTCTGTGTACTATGGTGCACCCTAGAGGCCCTCAATTCCCTAGCTGTGGAAGAAGGATTAAACTTGTTTTTCTTGACCCCGAGGGCAGAACCAAAAGTAATGAGTAGAAATTGCAAAAAGACCAATCGAGGCTGCATGTCAGGAAAGTCTCCCTAGCAATCAGAACCACCCCAAAATGGAATGGGCTGCCTTTGGAGGTGGTGGGCTCTTGTCCCCTTCAAAGGGAGGCTAGCTAAGCACTTTTTGGGTGTTACTGTGGCGTTTTCCTTCAGTTACAGGTTCGACTAGATCATGTCTCAGGGTAAACCTGGCATATGGGGAAAAACTGGGCTTTTTTTTAAAGCCAAAAGTGCCTTAGAAACAGCTGTCTTGATTACTCTGGGATAGAATGATGACACTACTGAGTCCAGGGGTGAGGTGTGAATTCTATCCCTGCCACTATCCCTGCCTGAGAGTGTGACTGTGGGCAAGTCACTTCATTTCCCAGAGAAGGAGTATGGCCCAATGGAAAGAAGTCTGGACGGGGAGTCAGAAGGCCAGGGTGTGCTCCAGCCCCAGCCCTTCTGCTGGAACTTTCCTGGGCCTCACTTGACTTGACGAGTGCTAAGGTCCCTTCTAGCTACAAATTGATGACCCTCCAGCATTCCAGGCAAAGGCCGAGAGGCCTCCATAGGGAGATGTCAGAGCTTAAAGGGGCCTTTACTTCTAAGATGACACCAGAAGGATTGGAGGGAGTGACTCCTGAGGCCTGTTCTCAATGACCAGGTAGACGACAGCTAAGAAGAGAGAGGATCAGGCAGCTAGAATTCAAGAGGCCTTAGAGGTCATCTGGTCAACCCCCCTCATTTTGCAAATGAGGGAACTGATGCCTAGGGAGGGGAAGTGTCTTACCCAAGGTCACAGAGGTACTGAGGGACAAGCAGGATTTGAATCCACGTCCCCTGACTCCAAATTCAGTGCTCTTTTCATCGTACCGTGCCGCATAATGTTCAGAACTAGGGAGGTCTGATAACAAGATGTCTTTGCTGCCCTTGATGCTTTCAGAGAGAACCGGCAGAGCTCATCCCTGCCAGTGAGATTGGAGAGATCAAGGAAAACAGGAGGATTTTGATAAGGTGGAGAGTGTCCAGCTGGTGAAGGGCCTTGAGTACAAACTTAGGAGGATCAGAGACTTAGAACTAGAAGGGGCCTTGGAGGAGACTGAGACCCAGAGGGCAGATTTGAACTCGGTTTTCCACGTCAGGCCCCAGCAGCAGCCTCCGGAGTACTTCTCCTAGGTCACCTCGTACTTAGATAACGTCGGCCAAACTTCCCAGCAATGGGAGCTGTCCAGAAGTGGAATGGGCGGCCTTAAGAAGTAACGACGTTGGTCCCGTTGCTAGAGATGCCCAAGGAGAGGTGGGAGGGCAGCTTGGCAGTTTGTTAGGAGCTGCAGCAGTGAAAACAGGCAGCCCTAAGGGGTAGCATTAAGCCAACTCAGAAGCACTAAGGACATGTTAGGAAATGAGCAAGGCTAAGTGTGGAGAGAAGTGTCACACTTGGAGTCAGGGACCTGGATTCGAATCCCATCTCTGGAAGAAGGAAGGGCTCAGACTAGCTCTCGATCCTCGGAAGGTCATGACCTTTCTCTGTTTACCTGCCACCAAACCAAGGCCTTTTCTGCAGCCACTGCTTAATGGCTTAAAAATGCCGAGGGGTAGAGGACAGGAGGGGGAAGGCAATCACATTCAAACTTTTGTACGCCCCAAATAATTAATTCAATTAATTGAGGCCAAGCCAAGGAGAGGGGCCTCTCGCTCGGCCAGGCGGTGGCAATTGCCTGTGTGGCAGGTGCTGGGCATGTGATGGGCACACAATGGCAGCCAGCATCAGGGATGTTACAAATCACTGAGCCAAGCTCCCCTTGGACACTGAATAAACTTCCTAAGTGTGGACTGCATAAAAGGGCACTTAGGCAGGGGGCTAGCCTCCCATTCACGTGCCCCCTGGCAGCTAATGCCTTGAAGGGGACAAATGGCACTTCCTGGGATTTGAGCCCCCACCCAAGTACTTTGGGGGAGCCCAAGCTGAGGGGAGGGGATGTGACCCCACAGCCACTGTGGGGAGGACCATAGACAGCTTCGATCCCACAGCAGCGCCTAGCACCAACGGACTTGCTTGAGGCAGCTGTTCAGAGTCCAGGGGGTTAACACAAGCTTTGCTCCCTTTCTTCTAATCCTGTTTGGTCTATGCCTTTGGTTCCTAGAGCCAAAGCTGTCCTGTGGCTTTAAAGGGCTGGGCTGGAGGCAAGATGGTACCAGGGTTGGCACAACCCCAAGAGGACCTTCCCCAGATAACCACTGGGTCCAATTCAGATGGAGAGGAGAAGATGGCAAATGAAGACAGTGCAAACCTAGCTAAAGAGAAGTTCCCTCCTACAAGAGGCCAGTCCTCATTCTCCCAGCTATCTCCCATTCAATGATTCTGCTTATATTTTGTACTTCATTATCTGTGACCCCTTTGTTTTCTCCCAGGTAGGCTGTAAGTGCCTTGAGGGCAGGGGCTTTCACTTTGGTCTTTGTTTTTCCTGTGCCTGGCACCTGATTGAATTCAAAGAGTGGGCTACACTGCTTGGAGTCAGAAGACTTGGCTTTGTCCAACCTTATACATGGATATTCATGTCCCCAAGTCACCTTATGTAAAGTGTGACCTTCAGTGAGTAATTTGCCCTCTCTGATGATGGCGTTCAGCTACATCGTAGGTTTAGAGCTGGAAGGGGCCTCTAAGGTCATGCAGTCCAATCCCTTCATTAGTCGGTCAAAAAGCATCTATTATGTACGTACTGTGCACCAGTCACTGTGAATGAGTGAGTGATCAAAGCCCTTTGTCCATTGCATACAAATACAGAAAGTGAAACAATCCCAGATTTCAAGGAACTTACCTCACACATGAGAAAACTGAGGCCCTGGGAGGCAGGGTGACTCGCCCACCATCACACACTGAGTACCTAGCAGATTCAGGGTTCCAACTCAGGTCTCTGCTTCCAAAGTCACCTCTGCTAAACTTCTGGTACCTGCTAAGGATCTCTCCAAGGTCTTTAAATCCTGTCAGCACCAATCCCTGGGGATACTGTATATACATTATTGACTTGTCTTGGCTAAAGAGCTGAGGGTTAACCCAAGCCCCTTTATGCTTTCCCACACTGGCCTTCCTCCCCTGGGGTGGCTCATGAAGATTCCTAGGCCTCAGGAAGGGACCAGTGCCTGCTGGGGAGATAGGATCATGCTTGGACTTTTTATTGCTGACTTGACTTGGGATTCTTTTCTCATTGCTTGCCTGAAATAGCATTTGTCAAACTGGAGTACAGAAAAACTGCAACTGTCCTGGCAGCTGGAGAGGTCCACGAAGGCAGAGCTTCCCATGAGCAGAGGCTGACCAGCAAAGTACAGTGAGATTAGCAAAAGGGCTGGGTGTGCTCTGGACACTAGGCCTTGAGAACAGCACAGCGACTGGGTGTGCCTTGGATGCCAAGCCTGGAGGGTCAGATATAGTAAGGGGCCTGGGTGACAGAGGCTCTGCCTCTCCCTTTCCCTAGCAGGGTTGGGAGGCTCAGGGAGGGAGCACTCTCAGCTACCACCCCTCTTCTGGGACCTTCCCTCTGACTTGCACAGCTAACTCCTAAAGGAGACCAATGGCCATTCCCTTCTAAGGGCTCTCGGCACACTCATTCCTGGGCCGTATTCTCCCTTTTCTATGGGGTAAAGACACTGGGCTTGGGTCACCCCACTCCATCTATTGGTTAAACTCTGAATGGGGAGGTTGGCTCTGCTAGAAACCTGTTCAAAGAAACAGGACAGCCTTGGCTGCAATTTCACTCTGTGGGCTGCCTTTCTGAGTCATAGAAATAATCCAGCCCCCAGCAGTTCATTCATTGCCTTCAAAGACAAAGGAAATGACTAACGTAGTCTAGAGCTAGCTTTCCAGCAGAGAGAAAGAGAGCGAGAGACAGAGAGAGACAGAGAGAGACAGAGACAGAGAGGGAGAGACAGACAGAGAGGAGGGAGAGAGAGGGTGAGAGAGAGACACACACACAGATGGAGCAGAGAGGGAAAGACAGAGAGGAGGGGCAAGAGAGAGAGACAGAAAGGGAAAGAGACAGACAGAGAGAGAGAGAGACAGAGAGACAGAAACAGAGAGACAGAGAGACTCCTTGTAGTCTGAAAAATTTTCTGGTTTTTCTGGACCTCTGATAGCTAGAATTTTCTGTTCTAAGCTAGAAATATCCAATTTCCTAGCTGATTGCCGTATCCTTTGCCTGTGACTTCAGGGATGTGAAACCAAGCAGACCCACCTGCAGGAGGGCCCCTGTCCTCCCTATCAAGTGCCTGAGCTGTTTGCATCCCTGGAGCTGCTGTGACTGCCAAGAGACCAAGCTGCCCTGGCTTGGGGGCAACCTTGAGCGCCCTACAAGTCCTCGGCCACTAAGGACTCTCTTTTGCTGACATCCTGGCCAAGGATCCCTGGTGGCATCCCTCTCCTATCATGCTTTAGAGGTATTAGCTCAAGCCTTGGTGTGAGTGGGCTGCCCTAATTCAGAGGTGCCAGGAGCTCACTGCGTGTCCCTGCTTCCTGCTTCCTTGTTAAGTCCTTCCCGTCACTGGGCCAAATAAAAGCGCCACTTGCTTCCAGAATTGACTGGCTTGTCCACATAGTTCTTCTGTCCATCTAGCCCTTTGGTCTCAGCCATGGACTCTGGCACTCTGCCTCCAGCCCTTCTTGTGCCAACCCCCCTCAGCTTCCCCACAACTCTGGCCCTGATCCTTAGGGCTCCATTTTCTTGAAGCAGTAGCAAACAGATGGCTGACCAGGAGTCATCTTGAAGCTCCTACCAGGGCCAAGAGGAAAAGTCTAAGGAAAGAGGACAGGAAAGGGAGAGAGGCAGGGCTGAGGGCCTGGCGCACTTACGTGGAGAAGGCGTTGTTCTGTTTCTCACAGCGGATCCCCTTGCAGTTATCAGGCTCATCAGAGGCTCTGGTCTCATAATAAAAGTAAAGCTGGTTCAGTCCATTGGCAAAAGCCAGCAGGACCAGGCAATAGATAAAGAGGAATTTGAGGATGTCAAGCAACATGCGCCCCAAGGAGATCTGCAAAGGCCCCAGGTGGGAGTTGGCTGTGAACAGGGATATGAGGCGCAAGGAACTTAAAATGTTGGAGATCGCAAAGAGGGCTTCTGCAATCAGGGTTGGGTGCCACATTTCCCATTCCTCCCTGGGACGAGAACCATTGTACTGAAAGAAATAATAAATGAAGACAGTGAGCATTTGCGGGGCCATCCCACTCCCCTCCCCAACACTAATGCCCATGCATAAATCAGGCAGCCATGTACACAGTAATACCCCAACAGTCAATGCCACCGACACTCTTCTCACCACCTCAACCAAGGAGGCCCTCATTAATCCTTTCCCCAGGGCCAACCTCCTGGGATGAAAGGGCTTTATCAATGGTAACTACTCAACCACAAGTAATTACCCCCCAACCACTGGGGGTGGAGGCCTTCTTTACACTGGGAAAGTGCACTCAGTAAAGCCAGGCTCTCCAGATTCCCCACATTGTTAATAACCAGTTTTTATTCTAAGAGGGCAGGAGCCAGGCCTAGGGGCCCCTAACTGAGAAGCCTCATGTGCTATCAGCTGCCATCCAGCCCTGGGAACCCCCGATTTCTGACCTCCAATCAATCAGTCAATAAACATCAAGTGCCTACTATGTGCAAGGTCATTGTGCTAAGCACTTGGGATACAAAAAGAGGCAAAAGGCAGTCGTTGCCCTCAAGGAGCACACAATTTAATGGACAGTACAGCTGAACATGTCCATTCAAAGTGCAAGACCTAGCAAGCCTAAGCAGGAGGTGGCAGGAGAAATGCATGCCAGGGTGGCTGGAACGTGAGAGGGACAGTTTCCTACTCTAGAATTCAACCCTTGAGCTCCTGCTCACACTGGTGCTGGAGTCAGGAAGCTCTGGGTTCCAATCCAGGCCCAAGTGCTTACTGGCTGTGAGACTGTGGCTGAGCTGGCATCTAACTGGACCCAAGTCTCCCCATTCTGGTGTCCGTGGCACAGCTGTGCCTGGATTCTGCCCCAGTACCCCAGACATCCTCAACCTCAACTGCCTTATCTGGAAAGTGGAGGTAACAATACTTTTGCTACCTCCCTAACAAGATTCTGATGGGAAAGCTCTTGGCCAACCTCAAAGTATCATAGGGAGGTGTTATTAGAGGCAGTATGGAAAGAATGCTGGGCTTGGAAGTGAGGAGATGAGTTCAAATCCTCATTCTGCTATTTACTCCCTGTGTGACCTTGGGCAAGTCACTTCTCCTTGGGCCTCAATTTCCTTATCTGTAAATGTGTGTGTGTGTGTGTGTGTGTGTGTGTGTGTGTGTGAGAATTTAGATGATCTCTAAGGTTCCTTCTTGCTTGAAACAAGCTGGCTCCAGTGCTCACTACCTACATGACCTTAGCCAAGTCCTTCCTCTCCGGCTCTTAGTTTTTGCATCTGTAAAATGGGGGCAACAGCATTTGCATTTCCTAACTTCCAAGAGCATTGTAAAGAAAACACTTTATAAAGCCAAAAGTGCCTTAGAAACAGCTGTCTTGATTATTCTGGGATAGAATGATGACACTACTGAGTCCAGGGGTGAGGTGTGAATTCTATCCCTGCCACTATCCCTGCCTGAGAGTGTGACTGTGGGCAAGTCACTTCATTTCCCAGAGAAGGAGTATGGCCCAATGGAAAGAAGTCTGGACGGGGAGTCAGAAGTGCCAGGGTGTGCTCCAGCCCCAGCCCTTCTGCTGGAACTTTCCTGGGCCTCACTTGACTTGACAAGTGCTAAGGTCCCTTCTAGCTACAAATTGATGACCCTCCAGGCAAATCTCTCAGACTCTAGAGGGGGTTGCCAAACAACATCAGTGCAGGGAGTCCCCACACACTGATGAAGGTTGTCACAGGCCTGCCCCGCCCCCTGCCATTACTGTGGCCCTGCTTTTCATCATGACCTTCCAAACACCGTAGGGATGCCAGCTGTTGGGGATTCAGGTCTGGCTTTAGTTGCTATGTGCTTCTGGGGGCCCTTAGCCCCCACTGAAGGCAGCTAATGCCTGCCCCTCTCCACTTTTCAGATTTCATTAAGTGTCATGCTCCTCAGAGCCTTTTGGAGTCTCTAGACTGGGCAGGATGCCGAGCCTAGAGGCCATGAGCTTGTTTTCATATTGTGATCACAGAGAATTGGTCTCTGCTATCATCTTCTGTATTTTCTGCATTTAAGCAAATGATACTAAGAAGGCGTCTGTTGGCTTCACCAGACTGCTGGACAAGGGAGTCCGGGACACAGCAAAGGGGAAGAACAAAGCTGTTGCAGAAAGTTGGGGCCCAGCTGATCACTTTGATGGAAAGAGGCATTCTGGGGTGAGTGCTGCCTTTAAGCCCTTCCCAAATCTGAAACATCCCAGTTGCAGAAGATGGACCACACACGATGCCCTCCCTCAGCTGCATCTGGGCAGCTGCTGCTTCTTCCCCTGTGCTTTGTGGTCCCGAGCACAGAGGGAGCTGCCTTTATGCTCACCCTCTGATCAGAGCCTGGGAGTTGGGACAGTGTGGCCAAGTGTGCTGTGCCAGAGAGAGCATGCTGACTTTACAGAGGAGGACATGAGCCCAGAGGGCAGGAATCTGCTCAAGGCCAAACCGAGAATAATAGCAACAGGGGCGACTTCCTTGAGGGTTTAGTCATTTGCCACACACTCGTGTGCCAACCCTTAGTACCCCAAAGGCTCAGGGAGGGCAGGCCCAGTTTTTTTTCTGACCTTTGTACCTCCAGGGTCCATCATAGCACACAACAGGTGCTTAGCTGGATCAAGCAGTGCTATGAACATTACTCCTGTTTGATAGAAGCTGAGACTTAGCAAGTGACAGATGTAGGAATCACAGTTTGTTCAGGAAGGCCATTGATAATTGGAGGCCAAAAGGGTGGGGAAGAGCCTGGTCTCCAGTCCAGACTCAGGCAGGACATGAGAGTCACTTCCAAGAATTTGTCACATGGAACAGGGATTGACCCCAGAGGGGAGAGCCAGGAGCAATGGGCTGAAGGCTGAATAGCAGGAAAAGTTTGCCAAGGAGACTTGTCCAAAGTGCAATGAGCTGCCCTGCAAACTGACTCTGAAATTCTTGGATTCTGTGACCTCCTGAGACTCAATGCCTCTGCCCTGCCTCCTTCTTAGCTCACTGACCTCCACACAACTGGCCTCACACTGAAATGCGTTCTGTGTCAGGATGGAGAAGTACTGAGAGCCAGGTAACTCAGCCTGCCAGATCTTCCAATCATCTTTCTAGGTCTATGCTGCAAACACGAAAGCACATCAAGGCTGGGGGCATAAGGGAATGTCTTCCTGTCTGCCTGCTGGCAGCTCTGGCTGTGTGAGCCACTCAGAGAGGAAAATAAAGGGCTTAAGTGACAAACCTTTGGCAAATCTTGTGAGTGTGTGTATCCAGAGCTGTAACTAGGGTGGGCCACTGGAGCTTTGTACCCTGACTTTCATTCATATTCAGCCACATTCTTTGGTGACATTGAATCTTTCGTTCCCTACAAATGATATGCAAAGAGCAGGAGGCAGCCAGGTAGAAAGAGCAAGCTCTGGCTAGAAAAGGGACAGGAATCTCAATAGTCAGCAGAGTATGGGAGAAATGCAAGGATGTACGTATGGCGGGATTGGGATGGCTCTACGGGGAGAGGAGAAAGGACTTAGGGAATGGAGATGGCTCTGGGGGTAGGAGGAGGGCTTGGGGGGAGGGGAGGGGACTTAGGGGATGGAGATGGCTGAGGGGGATGAGGAGGGCTCTTGGTGACTACCCCAGAAGGAAACATAGGAATAGGCCACTGCTCTGGGGGGATGGAGAGGAAGCTAAACTGTCCCAGTAGGGAGGGAATCAGAGGCTCTTCTGTCCTGGCTTCCAGGGAATTTGTTAAGGGAGGTTCTCTGAGTCCAGTGAGGTCATGCGTCACCCCTGGAAGATCAAAATTCTGGGTGTGAGGTCACTTGATCCTTTACTTCAGTTCACCCTGGGGCTTCTGGGAAAGTCCCTCCTAAGGCAAAAGTATTTGTCAGTTGGCAGCCATGTTTCTTGCTTTGAGGGATTTCTTCATCCATGAGTGGGTGCACTACGGTGTTGCCTACTACTGACTTGGGGCAATAAGGACTGGCATTTGCCCAGGATTATTGAGTTGGGTGGGATCTCAGAGGAAACCTCCTAACAAGCCTGTGAAAGGGGTTTCTCAAGTGCTTATTGGACTGGATTAGAGACCTCAAGAGGCGATGCGACTTATTCAGGGTCACTCAACTCTTAGGTGTTAGAGGTGGGATTTGAACCCAGCTCTTTCTGCCTCTGTCATCGATGCCATCTGTGCTGTGGAACAATCAAATGCTGGCCAGTATTCCCCTTACAGAAGGTGATGGTGGTATCGCCACCACCACTACCACCTGACACAGAGCTATCAAAAGTTTACAAAGGCCCCTAAAGACAATATCTTATTGTTAACCCCATTTTACAAATCATATGTGGCCCACCCAAAGGGAAGGAGATGACTGAGGCTACATCCTGTAGAATCTGGCTCCCAGAATTTGTTGTTAGAGAAATTGAGGCGGCTCTAGTGGGGAGCACGGTGAGAGGGTGGGTGGGTGGCTGCCCCGGATGACCTCATGATTGGCTACCCAAATATAGGAATTCATGGCAGACTTCCTTGGCCCATTCACTGCTGCCTGGGAAAGCCCTGCCCAAGCAGCTGGCTGCAGCCCAGCAGAATGTAAATTCTTGGAAGGCAGGGAGTGTTTGGGTTTTGTCTTTCTGTCCCCAGTGCTGAGCACATAGTAGGTAAATCATAAATTGAATTGAATTGCCCTGATGGGGAGCTGAAAGCTGGGGCTTATGAGGCTGTTGATACATTTCCCCTGAGACCCAGATCCTGCCTCTCCCCTCCCCAACTCACCCCCTCCCTAACTTGCCCCCCCCAAGTGCTAAGGCTTCATGGAAGAATTCCAAGTCACCGTGCCTGACACATTTCTTAAGAGACAGAGATGCCAAAATACCTTGACGTAGGCAACAATTTTCAGTGAGATTGTTGCCAGATAGAGTGAGTTCATGGCAAAATCCATCAGGTTCCACCAGTCATGGATATACTCATTGAAGCCGCCATCCCACATCTCCTTAATTTCTCCCCAAATGAAACCTGAAGGAAAGGTGGGAAAAGGTATTATTTCTAAAGCAGAGACCAAGCAAAATCTTCACAAGAGGAAGACAGGAGAGGCAAACAAAATTGATGATTTGTGAAAAGTTTGAGATTTCCCTTGGGGCTATAGAACCAGGCTCACCAACTCTATTCAGTTGATGACGGGCAGCCTGTGGACTTCATGTAGCCTCCATGGGCAACAGACCCATTGACAACTACCCTCCGAGTCCCACTAGGGGTGGTGGGATTCTCTTGCAAGTAGCAGGGGATGGGCCAGGACAGCCTAGGAAGAGGAGTCACCCAATTAATGGAATTTCTGAGGTGGCAAAGAGACCACTGGCCCTCCTCTCCCTGTTGACTGATGCCAGAAGTCCCACCATTAGCACTTGAGTCCATTTGTGGGGGTGCATACTCTCTGGTGGGCTCCTAAACAACTTGTGGTCATTTGCTCCTGTGTGAATGAAGCTGCTGAAAGTCAGCCCAGTTACCAATGCCAGGATTCCAGCTTAACTGCCCAGTCATAGATCACAGTGATATCACCCCTTTCAGCAGGGGTGGGGTGGCAGGCCCTTTGCGGAACTTCACACACAGAATCTCGGAGCTGGAAGGGGTCTCAGTGGCCATCTACTCTAACCTATCCTTGAACATAATTCCCTCCACAATATCCCTGAAAGGAGGTTTGAGCCCTTTGAGACAGCTCTGACTGCCATCCAGCCTAAATCTGTCTCTGCAGTCTTGCCCTCACCCCTCGCCATGCTCCTACTTCTGTCTTGCGGAGCCCAGAACAATCCCCTTTTCATACAACAAGTGTTTGAATACTCGAGGACAGCTAGCACGTCCATCCCTCGCTCACCCCTCCTAGCCCCCAATCTTCTCTTCTTAAGGATAAACAGTTCCTTCAACTTCCTGCTGAGCTTGGTCAGCAGGAGCCTGTCAGCTCCGTTCCTGGCATGGCTATGCCAGGAGCTGGAATGTGGAGCCCAGGTCAATGAAGGTCTTGGCTGGAATGAGCTGTTGGGAAGCCTGATCTCTTAGTGACTTACCTAGAACCCAAGGCAGTATCATCCACTCCACCACAGTGGGCGGCGGCCCCTGCACATGCAGGTCTGTCCTGACTATGTGCTGGGACGCCAGGAGCAGCATGAAGAGGAAGGTCAGGTAGGAGGCCGTGTGGCAGATGAACTTGATAAACGGTTTTTTGATGAAGAGCCCAAGGTTGCTCCTGGGGGCGACCAAGTAGGCTATAGACAGCATGGGGAACAGAAGGCCAATGGTGATGCAGGTCAACATCTTGACTCCCCAGTGTCTACGTCGCCAGCCTGGGAAGCCATCATACCACAGTGTGGCCAGCAGCTGCTGACAGTTTGGCTGAGCAACAAACTGAAAAGAGAAGAGGCAGAGTTAGGTGTCAAGGACACCATGGGGGCTCCCCTCCCCCACCCCAGTCATCTCCAGACTAGGGTTGTGCATCTAGGACTTCTGGGCCTGCTTTGCATCAAGAATGGCTTTGTAGGCCCAGCTGGAGGATTGAGTTTTCTCCACAAGTAATTCTGTTTCTATTAACCGCCACCACCACCACCACCACCACCACCACCACCACCACAACAATAAAAAAGCACCATGTTCAAATTTGTGCCTTGGCATTTTTCCTGACTGTTCACTGTAGCATGAGAACGGAGGAGTGGAACGGAAGCCGGTTCTGTAGGACCTGGGCCCAGTCTTGCCTTCATTTGGGGATATGTGCCCATAAGATAAAAGGCAGGGTGAGTGAACTGTGGGCTGGGAAGGCAGATGCTGTTGCCAGTGACCCAAGGAGGGCCCTGCTCCCTGTTTTTCCTTTGCCATTGCATACAGTAAGGCTGACCAAAACCTGAGCTACCTGAGGCTTCCCTAGACTAGCCCTCATCTTGCCAATCTGATGACTGTTGTGACAGGAGGAAGAGTCATTTCAGTCATCTTCCTCTCTGGTTAGCTCAGCGTCCTCTGCTGTGGGCCCTTCCCCTTGTCCTTGGGCAGAGTCTTGTTGATTGGGCTCTATTAGAAGCTGTTGGAAGACTCAAGTCTCCATGTGAAACAAAGGGCTGGGCCACAACCACTGTTTCGGGGTCAGTGAAGTCTCCAATCCTTGCCATCGCTATCAGAGTGCTTCTCAACTTTCTCAGGTGGGATCCTGGCAGTCAGAGGCTGCAGGGGCCTGATAAACAGGGACACAGCCCATACAGGAGACTGACTGGGAGGGAAAAGTGAGAGGTTCTCATTTTCTCCTCTGTGGTCATTCCTCCTAAGTCATTCCCCAGACATTCCTTGTGGACACCAACCAGCTCCTGGGTAGCAAGACTGCCCTCCAAAAGACACACGCTGAGAAAAAGCACACTCCAGGGCAGGAACAGGCCAGTGCTGGTGGCTTGCCCTCTAGTCAGCTCCTCCCTTGGTTTCCAGTGGGATTTGGAAAGCTCTTTGGGCAGAAGTCACTGAATTCAGCTCCCTTGCAGTCTGCCTTCTATTGCACAGCTTCCCTAGTCTAGACAAATGACAAAGAGGGGTGGAAAATGTTTGGGGCCAAAATTTTAATAGCCTATAGGAGACGCAGCGAGATTTGATTTAAAGGCAGTCTACAAAATGTCAGTGATTAATAATTAAAGACTCATTGACTTCACGGGGGATCCTCCAGCCGCTACTTCTTAGCAAGTGGCTCAATTGGAAACTGCAATGTCTACCATTGAACTGCGATCGTGCCTACATCCTGCTTCCCACGCACATTAGCTCCCGGCCAGCCACCAGACAGTCGAAACAATCACTCTTCTTAGTTTTAAGCCCAGAAAACTGTCCTCCTCTGCCCAACAACTAAGCCGAAGTGAACCAACCTTTTCTTTCAGTTACTTTCAAGAGAATGGTTCTAGGAGGATAAGGGAATTCCATTGCTGCTGTCCGTGGTCCTAAAAATGTCTGTATCTTGTTCTCCCCACTCCACCCCCGTGGCTTTCTCTCTGCCCCCTCCATCTCTTCACATCATCCCAGCACACAGTCAGCCCACATTCCCCCTCCTCTCATCTTGGTAAAGAATCAGATCTTGAAGGAATCTAGCTACATACCCATCCAAGCCTCACTGAGATGGAAAAAATGGGGAATTTGCCCAATTTGCTAGCAAGGCCACTGGATCTAGCAACAGAAGGCCTGGGTTTTAGTCCCAGCTTTGGCACTAATTTGCTCTGTGACCTTGGACAAGTCCTTTCCACTCTCTGGTCCTCGGTTTTCCTCTATGTAAAATGAGAGGATTGACTAAATTGTTTTTCAGTTCCTTTCAACTTTAAAGCTCTGACCTCAGGCTAAGAAACACAGGCTTATTATATCCCTACTTCCCTCTGAGATAAATGACCATTCCTGTCCTCTAGCGTGGCTACTAACTTTCCCCACCAGATTGAGTCCTGAAAGCCACTAACTCTTGAAGCAGTTTGCTTTAGAATTTGTTGGAGCCATTTTTTTTAGACGTATTTGGAGGGGTTTGGGGGAGAGCTCAAGCAAGTCACTGCTTTTACTCTGCCATCTTGGCTCTGCCCCATCTTGAAACAGTTGGATGGCACAGTGGATAGAGGACTGGGCCTGGGGTCAGGAAGATGCGAGTTCAAATTTAGCCTCAGACACATACCAATTGTGTGACCATGGGCAAGTCACTCAACTGTAAAATGAGGATAATAACAGTACCTATCTTGCAGGGTTGTTTTGAGGATCAAATGTGATAAGAAGTGTAAAGCACTTGGCATGGTGCCAGGTACATGGTAAATTATTTCTCTTTATCTCTCTCTCCCTCTCCTTCTCCCTCCCCTTCCATCTGAATGTGGGAGACATCTTAGGAGCTGTCTGCCCCTCCGGACTCTGGTATTCATTTTACTGTCCATTTATCTTGGTCCTGGCCAAGTCCCTGGGGCTGATATTTAAACTGGCAGCATCCATCTTTTCTTGCCTTGCTCCTGGTTTGGCAGTAGATTGGGATTCTGACAGGGCTGGGGGAAGGGGGAAGAAGGTTGATATCTTTGCTGTTTCTCCTGCCAGAAGCAGTGCTAGACTGTGAGCATTCTGCTATAATGAAGGTGCCTTGAGCTTATGAATAAAGGTCATTTGGATCGCTGCCTGGTAGCCAAGATAACAACGTTTGTGAGCTCAGAAGTGATGTTACAGAGCCACGGCATCTCCATGCTGGAAGGCAGCCCAGCAGCCACCTAATCTAAGGTGAAGCTGACCAGACTCCCTTGGCCAATGTTCCCAACAAGGGCACCTCCCCCACTCTTCTGCCAGGACAGCCTGGGCCACTTGGGGACAATGGAATTGTTGAGTTTTCCCAACATCAAAGTGAACATGGCCCCCCTCACTGCTCCAGGTTCTGCTCTCTAGGGCCCAACAGAATCAGGTTAATCCCTGTTCCACATGCCAGTTCTTCAAAAGCTAAAAACAAATAAAGAAAAAACCAACAAACCTTCTCTTCTTCTGGGTAAACATTCACAGTTCCCTCAAAAGATCCTCATATGGCACGAGCACAAGGCCCTTTAGTATTCTGGTCGTCTTCCTCTGGTCACCCTCCAACTTGTCAATGTCCTCAAATCATGGCACCCAGACCTGAACACAATCTGCCGGATGTGGTCTAACCAGTGCATGCACCCAAAGTACAGAGGGATTATAACCTCCTTAAGCTTGTGGTCCATCAGTACCCCCAGGACTTTTTCAGATAAACTGCTGCCTGACCATGCCTTCCCCATCCATGTGTTTGTTCACAGTCTAGCACAGTCTGGCAGGAGAAACAGCAAAGATATCAACCTTCTTCCCCCTTCCCCCAGCCCTGTCAGAATCCCAATCTACTGCCCAACCAGGAGCAAGGCAAGAAAAGATGGATGCTGCCAGTTTACATATCGGCCCCAGGGACTTGGCCAGGACCAGGATAAATGGGCAGTAAAATGAACACCAGAGCCAGGAGGGGCAGACAGCTCCCGAGATGTGTCTCCTACACTCAGGAGCTGTTATTAGTCCACAGCTGATCTCAATAATGCCTCAGAAGCAGAAGTTACAGAAACGAGATCAGATGATCACCCAGGCCCCAGCAGGCAGCAGGTCAGGGTTCCTCAAAGAGCGGAGACATAGTAACGTGGTTCTTCCAGAGTCTCCCCCAGGGAGTGAGCACCAACAGACCGGGGCTGCCTCTTGTTTCCCAAAGCCCATATTCCTATACTTAGAAGTGTGTGTGTGTGTGTGTGTGTGTGTGTGTGCCCACGTGCATGCGCTCTAGCACATGTAAGCAGAGCTGTTTACTGCAGGGAAGAGCTCCATGGTGAGGAAGCCCCATAAGCTGCAGCCTAACAATGCAGGGGTATCTAGGGGCCTGCCAGAGCAGTTGCCCCACTGGGCATGCCAGACTGCAGCCTGAGCCCTTCTTCTGAAGTTGAAACAGCTGGCTGGGGGTGGGGAGAGGGAGAAAGCCATACCCAGCTCCTTCCAGGGTTCCTGTGCTTCCTGACACTGGACGATTGAACTGTCAATCAACAGCAGGCCAGCCAATGATATTGATGGGTGTGGTCTCTTTCCACTTCATCTGTATGTATGCCACAGCTATTTCTGGGGCCCCCTGAGTACAAACATCTTGCATCCATGGGAATGCATGGGATCATATGGGAGAGTGACACAGGGTGCATGTATGTGTGAAGGGGTGAGGACAGGGTGGGAAGAGGGCCTCTGAAAATAGGAAACCAGGACTAGAGACACATGAATAGGACCAGATCGTAAATCTTCCTTGAGTCGGTACAGCTGTGGCCTTGAAGGAAAGGGAATGTAGGAAGGGATGTGAAGACGAACAGCTGGTCTCTGGGCTCCAAAGCAACTAGGCCACTTCTACTGGGAGTAGGAAGCATGGCCCCACCTTAAAAAGAGGCAAGTGGAGTAGACCAAAGGATAGATAACCTAAAATGAGGGGCACAGATCTGGGCAGGAGAAGACATGACAAGCCTGGAGGGCAACCTTCGAGGCAGCTCAGTCAACCTGTTCCTGCCCCTAAATCCTTTCTGCAGCACCCTGAAACACTCTTTTCTCGATGACCTTGAGTGAAGGGTGTCCTACCATCTCCCAGGGCAGCCTACTCTACTTGGGGCACTTATGATTGCTAGGAAGGCTTTTCTGACATGGAGCCAAAATCTGCCACTTTGGCAATGGGTGACTCTACTACCCCTTGGTGGTTGCTCAGAAGTTCCGAGTTCTGTTTTTCAGGGGCTAAGGTGAAATAACCAAATCTTGTTTCTTTTTCCACAACATTTCTCACCCACCTCCATCCGCTCTTCTCTTCTACCATCCTAATGTAGGCCCTCAAATCGCCTCTCTCCTGGACTATTGTAATGGCCTCC